AATAGGAAGGACTTCAGTGCTCTGTACTGAAGTAAATGCTGCAGCATTTACCATTTTTGGAACATGACTTTGGGGTGAAATCCTGACTGGAAGTATTCTGTGCTGTGTTTTATTCTGTAGTGAAGCGTTTAAGTCGGGTGAGCAGATTCAGTGAGCGTTTTCTGTCCTCTCTTGAATCTCCTGACTACTCTTTATATGCAAACAATAAGCGAAGGTCTCATCAGTGCTATTCTTTCTTATAGTATATAGTTTCTTGGGTGTGTGTTTTGTTTTTTTTTTCCTGCAAGACAGGATGGATGTTGCTGGTAAATCACCTGGAAGAAGGTAACCATTGCTTTGGATCAAGAATGTGGCACTGTTTATATTCTTGCTACATTAGATATCTCTCTGAAATAAAAACACTCAGAAGTTTGCCATATTCCCCTAAATTTCTGTGGCTTAAGAAGATGACGTGCTGAATACTTTCAGCTTTTTGGAAGCTGTGTTGGCCAATAGGCAGGAAGGCTGAGGGTTTCAATGCAGCTTCTTCCACCAAGGAGAGTGAATAGCTTTGTCTGCTTCACATAGCTTATTACCATCTTATACCTGCAAGATAAGAGTTACAGTAGCTCTCAGGAAAAAAAAAAAAGACACCTCCATCTGATTTATGTTTTAAGTGTTTGGGGTTTTTTTCTTTTAAGTAGGACTGCTACTACATAACCACCATTGTAAAGTATTCAGTGCAAGAAATAGATGGCTAATTAGGCTATTGTCTGTAGGACACTTGTTTTATTCACTGTGGAAATTAGCAAAGTATGTCACACATGAGGTACAGATCTGGTGAAAAGAAGATGGTTTTGTGGTTTGGTAGTGGACTGTAATCTGGGGAATTGTGTACAGAAACGAAATGCTTCACAGAATTTCTCTGTGATGTTAAATAAGGCACTTCACTCGGTTTCCATTAGTGATGGCTAATTGTTTGTGCTTCATTTTTCAGGTATTCAGCTTGAAACAAGGGCCTGATTTGTGGAACTGGTGGGCAGTTAAAGCTCCATCTGAAGCTAATGAGAATTGCAGATGCCCTAATACCACTGAAAAAAATCAGGCCCTACCCTAGGCCTGATTTGAACTAGGTACTTAGAAATTAGGGGACTCTGTAAACTTGTAATATTTTTGTGCTTCAGTTTTCTAGCTGTGGAGGTTGGTAATTCTTTTCAACTCATCTCATTTCCTCCCAAAACAACACCAACTAATTGATTTTTTTTTTTTTTTTTTTTTTAAAGTTTGTGGCACTTAAATAGCCCTGTTAAAAGTGCAGTAAGCTGCAAGGACAGAGAATGTCCTGTTTTCGGGACAGGAATGGAAAGGTGTGCAATAAATTAGAACTGGAATTTTACACTGATGAACAGATGAAATTACTGCTTCATTATCTCATTGTCATCTTTTAGATAAATTAAGCGGGGGTCCACTTGGAGAAAAAAAAACAGTAATTCATTAGATAATTAAAAATATGTCATAGCACATACCCAAGAGAAGGAAACAGTTAAGGTTTTGTGAGCTTTCTTAGTTCTAACACAAATTCTTATTTTACAGTCATAATGTGTTGGGTTTATATGGTGATAGATCAATATGGTGCAGCCCCAGTTGTCACTGTGCTCACTTATTTTCTCTTCGGGGTATGTATTAGAAGGTATTTCGTGCCAATTTGTCACTGAAGTCACGGATGCTTCATAGGTTGTATCTTTAGTATCGTTTTGGGAACAATTGCCCACCTTTTCACAAATGATGTTCCATCAGTGATAAAAGCAATGAGAACATAGCGCTGAATCTTTTACTGGTGGGAGCTTCCTCCTCTCGATATTACAGCAGATTGTAAAAGGACAGAGAGCAGGTTTTAACTATTGTCTCTAAAACAATACTGTGTGTGGTTTGGTTTTGGCGACATTTGCATTTAAAGTGCATTCAGCACTAGTTCAGTCATCAGTGAAGTTTAGTTTTGCTAAACAAAGCTTCTGCCTGAAATACGCTGACTGCAGCAGTGCTATTTTAAGGCTTTATTAGTGTGAAATGTAAGGTCAGTGCTTATTTAATGATACTTTGCTAATGACTTCATAGTAGCAGTGTTCACGTTGATGTCACTCTTTGCTAGAAAATTGTTTTACAATTTAGCTGTTCAAAATATTGCTTGATTATGATTTTTGCTAATGATTCATCTTGCAACTGAATGGAAACTAATTGCTTGTCTGGAAAAGATTTGTAAGAGTGGATTTAAAGATAACAAAGGACAAGATCTCCTTTTCAAACTTAGGTGCCATTCTTTTTGGAGTTGAAGGCAGAAAATGACATTAAGGACAGCTTTATTTTTCAGTTCTTCTTAAGATTTTCTTGCACTATTTCAGATGCTGCCTGTAAAAACAAACTTTTCAGGAGTATGTGAGCTTAGTTTTTTAGGGTGTTAGTATGAATTCTGAATTCAACAGTTCTTCCATTAGTGAAAGTGGGGGTCATGTTCAATGCATAATGGAATCAAATGCAGTGCAGGGGTCTTTCATTCAGCAGCAGGTAACAGTACACACACGAGAGCCTTCAGACACATTTGGAGATAAGATTTGTTGTCTTACTGCTAACAAAATATGTCTTTGGTTCCTTGTATGTCCTATTTTAAAATACCTAGATGCACAGTGAAAGTTTTCTTCAATACACTGTTAGTACTACAGTTCTAACAGCTGGTTTTGCCAAAAGTTCTGAGTATCTGAACTGTATCTTTTATTTGAGGAAAACAATGGCCCCAGACCCTTTGTACAGTTTTCTTTTTCAACATGGAACAATTGCATATTTGTATATGCTGTGTCCTGCTATCTTAAGAAGTTAACACTTAAAGGTTTGATTTTCTTTTTTTTTTTTTTTTTTTTTTTTTGCAAGCATTCTGCACTGTCTTCTCAGCAGTGCAGGTCTGTTATGGGGATGGGAGGTCTGAGAAGGTGATTAGGAAGTAGTAGTGTTGAAAGTATAGTGCAGCCAAACCAATTCATGAAAAGACTTACCAGCTAAGGTTGCTGTGAAAGAGACACTGGGCGTTAAAAATGCAAACTGTTGTCTATACCTGCGTTTCTACCATTATTGCTACTACTGATTTTGCACAAGCATTAGTGCAGGGATGCGGAATTTCTAGAGCAGTACCAATATAAAGGCAGGATTTGCAAAATGGTTGAGTAAGCGTTATCTCTAGAGGGTAAGTCAGGGTCACATGTTCGATAGGATCCCACGTGATACCATTATTAAATATCTAATGTCACAGAACAGAAAAAGAATAATTTTGTTTTCTGTTCTCACTTGTCTGGAGCGCATTTGGACTGAAAATGCTTCCTTCTGAGGGCACTGTCTGTTCAAATCTCTGTTCTTGATTAGTTCTTAGCCCGCAGACACAGTCACCTTGTTGGAGTTGTTATTACTTCATTTACCTCAGAACTTTAAATGCCATAACGGATGATTTTAGAATAAATTGTTGCAAATACTTGGATACGTGCTTCAGCTATAATCCATAATGCAACTATAGCTCTCCTGTTTTCAAGAACTTTGTTTCATTTGTAGTGAAAACATCCAGTCGGTATACAACTCAGCATCTAAATGTTAGCCTTTTCTTTATTTCTGCAGTAAAAAGCCTGATCTGATCAATTGGTGAATCTTGCCGAGGCAGGCACTGGAGTCAGCTGACTTTCTTCAGGCCGAGTGTAGCTATTCATCTGCAGTACTTCAGACTGCTGTGGCCAGTGGGTAATAAGTGAATTAATAAGTAAAAGCAAATACTGGAGAATTTTAAGAAACACATCTTAAGGAAGAGGTTCTCCTCCTTTTAAACAAAGCTCCACTTTCTTTTCTTTCCTGTGCTTCTCTGAGATACAAGCTATGATGTGTAGGATCCCAGTTTTCTACTGCTGTAAGAGAGACCATGCTAGTCAGAGGAGAAATTTTTTAATTAGATTTAGGAGAAAATCCTTCAGGCTTCTTCTCACTAGCTTCTAGAAGAAAATGTTTTTTAACAGTAAAGCTGTAACATGTTTTCACAGTGAGTGGGACATTTTTCTTTGGGAATTTTTATTAGGGCATTTTTTATGCAGATAGTAACTCTCAGTTGTTTATGAAACAAATTTGGCTTACGTAGTTTGCTATCTTGCTCTGAAGGGATCTCTTTTCAGGAAGGATAGGCTATTTAATAATCTTTGATCCACATTATGCTTTGTGTGCAGTCCCTTAAGTTAGAATGGTACTGTTTCTGATTTATTGGTAAGATAGATACCCCCAAAATACAGCTTATATGCAGAAAGAAAAAGAAAACTTAGTGTCTGATGATTTATTAAAACTGCTAAATTTGAGATCTGTTGCAACGTGGAAGGAAAGAGGATTTCAAGATCTAGCGAAAGTATGCTGGTTTTCAAGATCCAGCTCTCAAGAGTTGGGTGTAGTTGGCTGGTCCTGACTTATCTGTGGCATTTAACAGTAGTTTGAATTTCAGCTGGTATTGCCTGGAAAGGGTATAGTGCATCAGTTTGTGGCCGCTAATGACTCAGGTTACAAATAGCTATGTACTGTAGCAACTGAAATGTGTTGGAGATGGGCTTGGTCTGGAATAATCTGCAGGTTCTTTAGAGTGCTAGGTTAGTTTCTCTTTTCTATTTTCAGGTATTCTGATGTTTTCACCCCAAACAATGGGTTCAGTGCCTCTAAAAACCATCTGGAAATGAAGGACCTGGACAAATTCTCTCCAGTATTAAATTACCTTGGCAGAGATGGAGGGGAGTCCAGCCACTAATTTTGAAACACTTTTCCATAGTTTTGCCACGAAAAGGAGTTGCTAGACTGGCTTCAGAAACGTTTGTGGTACAAAGTGGTGATCGATAAGGAGGGAGAATGTAGTAGCTAGTCTTTTACAATGTGGTGCTCCCATTTAAGATACTTGAGAGCCCCGACTTAATCGCTAATGCCTATAATGATACTATGATATACTGTTGTTTTATAGTTTTGTTGGAAGCTATTATGAAGAATGGAAGTACTGCTGGGGGAGGCGCTTACTGCCGAAAACCAGCCAGTAGCAATGATCAAAGTAAGCCTAATAGCACGAAGGAGAGCAATGCATCTGCTGCAGGTGAAAGTGGAAAAGGCTACACCAAAGACCAAATGGAAGGAGTATTCAGGTATGGCCTTGCTTAAATACATCGCTGCTTTTCATTCTGTGTGTTATGTACTTATGCTTTCAGCTCTAGCATCTAAAGAAGCAACAGAAAATTCAAGGTTAGCTGAGAGGGGTTACTTGTACTGAACTGTGATTCAGTTCAGGAAGAGGAGAGTTGTGCTGTGTTTAAACCCAGTATGGGATGCTGTCACTTTCTGCGAGAAAGATGATACTCATCTTTATATAAAGCAACCTTGATGGTTTAAAAGGAAAATACTCAAAATAGTTATTAAGTAGATCTCATGTTAAATGGAAGATGTGATGAAAATTCTATAGTAGAACTTGCAGGACAGTGTTTCTATTCTTAAATATTTTTATACTCATGATATCTAAGTTTACATTACATGCTGGCTCCTGAAATTCATTTTCAAGCTAATATTGCTGTACAGGCTGGTCTTAGACCAGTGTTAAAACTATTTTGTTCTGGAAGTACAGGTATCTGAGAAGCACTGAAGCACGTAGTCTAAGTTGCATTATAAACTCTGTCTGGACTTCGTGCAGCATAGTATTAAGATGGGGTGACATCAGGAAAGGAGGATGTGCGGAAAGAAACAAAGATCAATAAAAATGTCCTTTTGAGGCGAGTAACTCTTAAGTCATATTATCATTGCACACTTTTTGGCTGTAGGAGTGAGAAAAATACTGTTTGATATGCGCCCTGATTTCTGCTAAAGAAATATGGATACAGCCACTCTAAAATTGCACACCTCAAAACCCACGTATATTTTCAGATAAGCCTAGCCCCAGTATTTTCAAGGGAGCTCGAAGAAGGGAAATCAAGAGGTCCTTGTCTCCTAGTTTGTGTAGATTGTATGAACTGTTGTGCAAAACAAATTTGTGTGTGAATTTTTTTGTATGAAATGTATGTTGCTGTTGATATTATCTTGGGATCTTTTCCTGAAGTTCAATGATCTGTTCAGCTGTGCTAACAGTGAGGAAAAAGCAGCTTTTCTTGTTGATACAGCAGCTCTGCATTCAGGCAGGTAGACAGCAGCATCTCTGGCATGGTTATCCTCCTGGTGTTGCTATTTAGTAGAGCTTTTCATTTACCATCGTCTTTGCTTATTAATGTTATTGCCCTTCATGATACATCTAAAGTAAAACCTGAATAAGTGTGTACATTTTTGGCCACCTTGAAATATTAGCTGTTAAAATGAAGGCAAAATGTGTGTGTATGTGCGCAGACGTGTGAGACAAAATATCCAGAAAGAAGTCCTCTGTAAAATGAGGCTTATATCAAATTAAGACATGTAACACATCTCAGAAAGCTGCTACAAGGAAGGCTGTATTACTGCCAGTATTCACTCACCCGTGACATGCCATTCTGAGCTGCAGTCTGCTTTGACATCAGGCTCCCTGCAAGTTCTTTTGTTTGTTTGTTTGTTTTACCAGAAAGTAATGTTGCCTACTTTTTCTTGAGTAAAATGATGTTGTAGAGCCAACTTTTCTCCATGGTATGCTTTCATGGTATTGGGTATTGCTTCCTTGAAGGGATTCACTAGATACCAGATAAAATTAATCCAGTTTGTTGAGATCAGAACCAGTTAGGGGTGTTCACAGAAGTTGCATATTGAGGATAATCTTGATGCAGCATTGCTTCTTCGTACCCATTTCAACAATCCCCTTTGTGAATACAAAATTCGGGTTTTTAAAAAGTACCCAGATTTTTGCAAATAAGCAATTGTAATAGCTTGCAGAACAACTCATGTTTGTTTGTATTTTACATACCACTTAGAAAATAAGTTGTTAAAACAGTATCTTGACCTTAGCTTGAGTGATGCTACCATCCTTTAATATAGCAGTCTATAAACCTTTGGAGAGAGGCTGAATTTTGGTTTAGATGTGCAGTAATCAACAGAGCAAGTCCCCAGTTCTTGTTGGAAGTTTTGAAACATTTGTTGACAACGTCATGTTGTCAGTTAGTGACATTGACACACCACTTAGAAAATTTGTGGTTAAGAATTAAAAAACGTGTGTGCCTTGCCAAGGAGAACAGGATTAAATACAAACAGTGGGCTAAAACTTAATGGAAAAATATAACACATTCAGTGATGATAGCTGAGGGAAAGTTCATGTTTAAACCACAGTGAGAATGAGCTTTCTAGTTGGAAACATGACAGGCTGCATATGTTATTGCTTCAGTCAGGCCCCAGCCTTTTCCAATTAAATGAAATGTGCCCCACTGGGGAGGGTATTCTTCAGAGAGTAGAGCTTGTCACCACCGTATGCTTTTGCCATACCACAATGGTTTTTGGACCTTTGAATTGGTTGAAGAAATGCTGCGTGAAAATAGGTGGGTTTAAATAGCGTTTTATGCCTAATTCTTAATTTTTTTTCCTGTAAGGAAAGAAATTTCTAGACAGCAAGGTAGCAAAATCTTCAATTTATAATAAATTCTGAATCTTACCATGAATTTGACTCTGTCAGACTAAGTTGTTTTGTATGCTTATGATTTGAAAGGTGGTCGTTACCCTCAAGTATTCTTCCCTCTAGGAGTTTTTGGTTCTGTATTAGTAATTGAATATAGACCGAGAGAAAGCATTTTTTATTTAACCACACATGCCATTTCAAACCCTTTTTTATAAGCTCTAGTGAGCAGTCGGACAGGGGGACTGACTCTGAGCTCTCTGACTTGGATCCCTGATTAGTGTTCCTGGAGTTGTCCAGCTATCGTGAATTTGCTTGTGACAATATATTTAAGAAGCATAGTGAAGACACACTTGGAGCAGTATAACTAATTTAACTGCATTAATTTTCATCAGGGTTACTCTGGTATTGTGGGTAGGTGTGAGTACAAACAAGCATCTCTGCGCTGTTTTTATTTTTCCCACATACACAAGGGACACTGATCACTAGCAACCTACCATAACACTTCTGTATAGCATTACATGAGCTTGCAAACAAGTTGCTCGACAGGGAGAAGCGTAAGATGCAGTATCTTTCCACTGATTGCATAAGTGCTGGGTGATGCTCTGTTCTTTGTGGGAACGGTGCTCTCCATTTCGGTGTGACAGCTTGAAGCTTGAGATACCCAAAAGCACTTTGTTACTTTTGAATTGAAATGCTTTGAAAATACCAGCTGTAGTACATGCATCTTTTTCTTAATGATGCTTATCTTGTCACTGAGGGCTGGATCAAGTTGCCTTAACACTTCAGGTGACCTGCATATCAGAGGGATTGACAGGAGACTAGCAGAAATATGTTAGGACCCACAGTAGACTTATGTCTTTTTAGAGCAAGTGTCTTAGAAGTCTCTAGGCAATTGAAAGCTGTCTGAGCAATGTCAGCTTAAGATAAGTGCATGAGAATCGTGTGCACAACAAAAAAGGGAGAATTTGCTTTTGGATTCTGTGGTCTTTGCTTTAAAGCAATTCCTTCACTGTTTGATGTAGGTTATTGGCATTTTTTGCTGAGATAAAGAAACAAAACATTCATGGAAGAAAGAAAATTTAAACTTTTCTTCTAGTTCACTTAAAACAACTGAAGAAGAAGTGCTGATCAGGATTACAGTTATCAGAGTTCTTAATTACTTTCAAACAAATTCTGTTCATCATATCTGCCCACTCATACCAACTCAGACCCTTTGGAAAGGTTTTGTGGACTAGCATGAAATAAAAAAAAAAAGATCATTTGCCTGCTGTGTATTAATCTTCCCCATTCCTTTTTATGTTATGAACTGTGTATTATCTGTTGTCTACTACATGATTTAAAAAAAATAGTTTCAGAGATATAGATAGGTTGTACACTTTATACAGACTCCCTTTAAATAATCTTAAAACCCAAATGGTGTCTGATGTCTCTCTTTTTAGTAAATAAGCCGTAACATATATTCCATATTACCTTTTTGACATCTGAAGGATAACTGGCATGACTAGTAGTATGCTAAAGTTGGATTGCTGTCTTGTGAAAACTGGTGGAATACAGCTTTTCCTGCCCTGCCAGTGCCTGCCCCTCGGAAGAGAGCACAAGAATGAAATTTTATATTTGGATCTTTTAGCTAGAACCAAAACAAATCGATAGAGGCATGAGTTCTGTAGGAAGCTTGCAAGGCAGGATTAAATGTTATCCAGTAATGGTCAAGAATAATCAGAAACTTGATTTGAATTCACAGAGTAAACCAAAAAATTGTCTCTACACATTTCATGGATCAAACTAGAAGGAATGTAAGTTGTGTGACTGACTTTTTCCAGGCCTTCTGCTGAGACTTCTGCGAATTCAGCAAAAAGATATATCGTTACTTTTTTAAGATGGGGTCAAGAAGATAATTAACTGAAAGTGGAATAATAAGAGCAATCAACATGTGCTAAAATGGAAAAAAAAAACCCAAAGCAAAGCAATCAGGGCATGCTTTTAATTAGGCTGCTAGAACTACTGTGAATTGTTGAAATATCCAGTTGAATGGTTGAGAAAGTCAAGGTGGAAATCACAGTCATAAAGCCTGTCATGGAAAAGTGGCACAGAAGATATGGTGAACTTTGTCAGAAAGCTCCTGCCTCTGATCTACACCTTTTATAGCTAAAATAAAAGCTTAAACAAAATCTGGAGAAGTATGCTGATGTAAACACAGCCTTGAATATTTCATGTAATACACACAGGAGAAACAAACTGACCAGGTACGTCTAAGAAGAAGGTGCTAAGACAAGCACCCTAATGTGTTGTTGAAACTATCAGTAAAACAGAGATCTGAAACTTCTGGTGCATTTATTTCAGAAACTAGGGGTATGCTGGTACCAGCTTGAGTTCCTCGACAACACTGTGACCTCTTCCCAATCTAGAGCACTTTTTGCAGACCACACTTATGTCATCCAAACTGTGACTGGCACATTCCCAATTCAGCTGCAAGATGTCATTTGCATCGGGCCCTCTGGCATCACTGGGAACTTGACCTATGTAGAAATTGGTTTGCATTTTACTGTGTTTTTCTGCTCAACTCTGGGATCAGAAGTCAGCGTAGCTTCCTCT